GCTATCTGATGCAGAACAAGTAACTGCAAAGACCATGGCCTGTATCAGGTGAACCTTAGTTTCCAGAAAGACATCGTTGCCCTTCAGTACTTGAGAGGCTCTGAAAGCAGACTTTCCCATAGCATTTAGTAGAAGATAAGAATTACCATATATATCAGAGTATTACTTCCAGGTATATATGCAAGGAGCAATGGTAGTATAATTTACCATACCTGCCTACTTACTAAAAGTTTAGTGGGTCAAATCTACCAACCACTCCACTAGAGAAAGACGTACAGGCTTGTCCTGTGAAAATTTATAGCCCCAGAAAGTTGACAGAGTTGCACAACGAGTCAGAATAGACAACTGAAATACATTTGGTTTATTAATTTAGATATATATGCTCAAGAATTTAAAGATACCTGTACACTAATGGTTTTTAACAGCACTACTGACAATAAGCAAAACGTAAAATAAATTAAACTGTAGGTGAATAAATAAAACATCATATATAGTTGCAATTTGATTTGCCCCGCCATAAAGAGAAATGAAATTCTGATATATGCTATGATGTGGATGACCCTTGCTTAGTGAAATATGCCCGACTTGAAATGGCTAATAGTAATTGCTTAAGCTACTTAATATGAAGTATCTAAAACAGACAAATGCATATACCAAAGTTTATTAGTGCTCACCAAGAGCAAGTGGGTCAAAGAGTAAGTTACTCTAGATAATAGTAACAATTACGCAACATGAAGATCGTATTTAATGTTGCTGAACTAATAAACATAGAAATGGCAATCTTGTGGTGCTAATGAAAACAGAATATACCATGGACTTTAAAGAAGTTCTAAAATTAAATAATCATGAATTAAAATAGCTGTGCTAACAAAATTTACTGAAAACTCAATTTTTTTGGTGTCCTAGTGGTAAGAATCTGTGCTGCAATCCTGGAGGTATGCTGATTCAAATCTACCAGCTATTTCATAGGAGAAAGATAAGCCATCTCTTCCCAGGTAATTATTGCCTCCAGACATCCTCTGGAGGGTCACCTATGGGTCGGTTCCAACTCTACAGTACACAACAACAACATATAAGACCAACTGCTAATATCATGCCTAATACAAAGATTTTACTGCATTTAACAGAGTTTTCATGTTTATTTTAGGAAAAATACTTTAATGCACCATTAATGCTTTAACTGCAGTTATCATTTATTAAGAAGTATACAAATAGTCTAAGTTTTTACTTTTCATCCCGTTAGAAGGTAGGCTTTTTAACTCAAAAATAAAGCTGTGGCCAAAGCAGAAGACTCAGGGAGGGAATGGTCTGGGGCCTCATTCCCAGAGACTGCATTCCCAGGAATTCTTAGCTCCCAGCAAAGACTCTGTTGATTAAGGTGAAGTGGCCCCTTCCACTCAGCCTGAGAAGACAGATATACAGCACAGAGACCATTATTGAGCAGCAACTATGCAATCCTGGAAAAAGGAAGGGTTTTGGATAAGATTTCTCAGAAGCTCCTAGCTCCTGTGAGAGGCTCTGTCACCTCAGGGGGGTATTACGTCACATGATGTCAAGAAAGCAGCAGTAGAATCAAACATTACAAAAAACTAAAAGAAGTTCATTCTTCTAAGACAGCAAACCAGAATGAGGATCCAATGAATACCTCAGAGACAAGAAAGCAGAAGAAATATGTGGAGTTTCTGGAGTCCCAAGAACTGGTACTGAAGAAGTTACAAATGTTGGAGGGAAAAGCCATAAGTTAAGAGCAACAAGAATGGGGAAAACCATCATCACAAGACAGGATACAATATAGTACACAGGAGTAGAAACAGAAAAGCGTGGAAATACAATCTAGAATTATCTAGACTGAAATAACAGAAATTCTCAATATTATGGAAGCACAAAAAAACAAACCCCATCCCACCCCCCCCCAAAAAAAACCCACGGAAAAAAAAACAAAAGAAAGGAAGCAGAGAATCAGCATTCATAAGAAAACAATCCAAATATGAACTTACAAGACCAACAGTGAGAAGACAGAAGGAAAATGAAAGGGGTGGGGGGAGAGGAACTAGAAGTAAATTTTCCAGGTATCATAAAAAAGGAGGAAAAACACATTCTAGAAGCTCAGGAACACCAAACAGACTGAATGCCAAAATAAAAACATCAAGACATTATCACTGTCAAACTCTCCAATATCAAAGACAAATACTAAAAGAACCAGAAGAAAAAGAGTCACCTAAAGATGAACCAATCAGATTAAGCTCTGATTTCTCAGAAAAAAACATATGAGAAAGGTGACAAAGGGGTGATATACAAAGAGGCCGAAATAAGTGCCAGCAAGGATCCTGTACCCAACAAAGCTATCCGTCGAATACGAAGGTGAAATTAGGTCATGTGCAAACAAGCAGAAACCATGAATCTAAACCCACTCTATAAGAAATACTAAGTGGAGTCCTTCACACTGAGGCAGCAGAGGAAAGCTAATGGACCAAAGTATGCAACAACCAAAAAAGGACACAGCAAAATGGCAACAATTAAACCTAGCCCATCAATAATCACATTCAATGGGAACAACTTAAGCACTAATTAAGAGAAAAAGAGTAGCAGAATGGATTAAAAAACATAGGTCTCAATATGATGCTTACAAGAGACACATTTTAGAAATGAGGAGAAACAGACTAAAAATCAAAAGGTGGAAAAAATACACCAAGCCAATGGCACCCATAAGAAAGCTGGAGTGGCAATATTAATCTTGATAGTTGTTGAGATGAAAACCAACATAAGAGATAAGGAAGGGCATTATATAATGATTAAAGGCACCATAAATTAAGAGGATATATCCTTAGTTAACATCTACACACCTAACGATAAACCTGAAAATATATAAAGCCACCTGGAGAAATAGACACCACCATAATATTAGTAAGTACACCAATCTCACCAAAAGACAGGTCAACTCAAAAGAAACTCAGCAAAGGCATGGAAGAACTAATATAGTCAATATTATTTAGTCCATCTCATAGATGCATTCAGGGCACTTAACCCAAAACTCAGTTTACTTTCTTTTTAAGTGCACACAATACAATCTCCAGCACTGACCATATATTAGGTCATAAAGCAAGCCTCAACAAATTGAAAAACATCAAAATAACACAAAGTATCTTCTCAAACCACAATGCCATAAAGACAGAAATTAACAAAATAATAAAGGAGATAAAGGGGGGAAAAATATTCAAGTGGAATTATAAAATCAGAGACCCTGGGTAAAACTCAAAACCATAAAGATTATAAGAGATAAAATGGAAACAAAATTAGAAACCCTAGCCTATGGCACAAATAGGCTTGTAAAAACATAGCCAAAAATGCACAATGTGAAGAAGATAAAATTGGCAAATGGTACGTTCTCCAGCAGGTAAAAAAGAGAAAGGCACAGATTTGCAAAAATTATCTGGCAAAGACATTTCAGATAAGGGTTTCAGAACTAAAGTTTACAGAATACTAGTGGGCCACCACAAGGAAAAAAACACAACCACCTGATAACCCAATTACAAAATGGGCAAAAGACACAAAAAAACTTTTCACAACAGTCATCTCCTTCAGATGGCCAAGAAACACATGAAGAAATGTTCAAAATCACTGGCATTCAAAGACAAATCAAAGTAAGAAGAAGATATCATCCCATTCCAGCATCAGCAATAGCAGCAAAGTTTAATAACACAGCAAAAAATGAATGTTGGTGAGGATGTGGAGATTTAAACTCTTATGCACTTCTGGTGGGATTGTAAAATGGTACAACCAATATGGATGGCAGTTTGTTGTTTCAAAAAAAAAAAAAAACAAAAACTGAACACAGAAATTCCTTATGGCCCATCTATTCCACTGCTAGGAATATATTCCAAGAAAATGAGAACTAAGCTACTAACGGAGGTATATACATCTATGTTCACAGTAGCATTATTCACAATAGCAGGAAAATGCAAATAGTTCAACTGTCCATGAACAAATTAATGGATTTGGTTACTTTCACACAAGTGACTACTATGCAGCACTAAGGAACAACTTTATGAAATACTTGAACTTGAGAAAGTCTAGTAAACATTATGTTGAGTAAAATACCTCAATCACATTAGGACACATATTTCATAAGGCCACTAAAATGATTCTAGAGGATAGGTGAAATGTCTGTGTATGTATGGACGTACGTGTGTGTGTGTGTGTGCGCGTGCACGCCTGTGTGTGTGTGCGCGCGCGTGCATGCACAAAGAGAAAAGGAGAGAATGAAGCTTAGAAAAAGGGGAAGAGAGAAAAACAACTGTGACAGTATAGGTTGGTGGGTGGAAGGAGTGCAAAGGAATGGGTAAGATTCAACGCAGACTTGAAAAGACAAGGTCACAATAGGCACTGAGCAATGGTAATTAATTCTATCAAATATTATACCTATGAATGTATATTCATGTACACAGGTGGATGAATGAAACACAAACTATATAAATGTATAAAACACAAAGTATATGTAGAAAATAATGATGAATATGAATAATTATATGCAAATTTATTTTAAAAAAATAAAAATTGTGATCAAATGAAAGAATTGCTGTTTCTGGTGTTTTCCACGTGCAAGTCATAAGAATGAAAATAAATTAATTCAATGAAACCTATACTTAGTATGTAATATTAAGGAAACTTACTAAAAATAATATACAAATACTAAATAGTAACCTCATTAAAAATATTTATCACATTGAGTTGGGTCAGACTCTGGTCATCCTCCAGTAGTTTTTCAGAGGCTGTAAATACTACAGGGGACAGTCCATTTTTATTCCCCCTCCTGCAGAGCAATTTAACAGAAATGAACTTCTGGCCTTTCGGTTGGCAGCACAAATCACTATTAGGTCACCAGAGAGACGTCATTCACCAGTCACTTAAAAATTCTTAATGAAAACCATAATATGCCACAATATTAAGATAAAGTTATTTAACCAGTGGAAGGAAATAAGTTTAAGAAAAAAACAACTTACCATTTGACAGCTAAATTCTGTACCTCTCCATTTTTATCTTCCAGTAATTTCAAAATCATTTTTACCACTTTTCGTTCACTATCATCATCCAATTTGATGGAATCTTTCTGCAATTCTGTCATCAAATCATTTGTAGCCATAAACCTAACAAAGAAAAAACAGAGATTAGCTACTGCTAATATAAAAATTTTAAAGCATCAATTAAAAAGCAATGATTTTTAAATTTAAATCTATCTAACAGAACATAATACAAAACTGTCATCCACTTATTTTCTTTAATGATCACAAATTTAAATCAAAAGCATATACAATGGTAAAACACACTTAGAATTCGCTGTAATCTTTATGTATTTTTAAAATTTTGTTATGTGCCATTGAGTCGCCTGCAACTCATACCAACCCCAAGTACAAGAGCTCTGAACTCAGCAGTATCCTGGGCCAGTCTCCTGTCTCCAACACAGCAATCCCCATTGCCCTAGTCAACCTTTGCAAACCCATCCCACCCAAGGTCTTTCTCTTCTGTGCTGTCCCTCTACCCTTCTAAGCATGATGTCTTTCTTTAGGTACTGGTCCTTCCTGGCCACAAGCCCAAAGTATGTTCAAAATCCTTGCCTCCAAGAAGCAGCCTGATTTCACCCTTTCTAAGACAGACCTGTTTGTTCTCTTCATGGTCCACGGTATGTTCAATACTCAAAACAAGGGATTATTATCCAAAATTATCTTCTCTAAGATTAGTCTTGATTTAAAATTCACTGACAAGACCAGCAATCACTGCCCTTCTTCCAGGAAGCTCTTAACTATAAACAATACAAACCATCTCTGTTTAATAGTGTATGTTGGTTGCAGCAATGAATGAATGGAAATCCAAAATCTCTATAAATGTTCATTAAAATTATTAAAAAATATATACAAATTATCAAATAATTTTACTAAATATATTTTTAAATCTTAAAAAAAATAGCATATGTTGGGTTGTTGTGGGTAAATGTCTTAAATTACAGCGCTGGGAAATTTCCAAAATACAAATTCCCATCCATTCCCCATTCCTTTATGAACTATAGAATTGGGCTTACTGGTCTGATAGAACCCCTAAGACTATGCTATGGTCCTAAATCACCCTTTTAACCAACCTGAAACAAAACTCAACCTGGTTCAATTTTCAGGCAAGCAATACAGGCTTCCAAGGTGACAAAAAACAATTGGGAAGCTCTTGTTCCTTAAAATAATCAACCACATAAAGTGAAAAGAGTATATATGCCGGAAGAAAAGGCCCTAAAGGCAGGAGAGGGGTTCAGAGTTAAAAGGTGACATCAGATAGGCACTTGTTGTTAGGTGCCGTCGAGTGGCATAACGACCCTAAGTACAACAGCCCTAAACTCTCTCTGTCCTGTGCCAATCACACTGTCTCTGACACTCCCATTCCGATTACCCCAGTCACTGAATCAATCCACCTCATAGAGGGCCTTCCCCTCCTGCGCCGTCCCTCCACCCTCCGAAGCATGATATCCTTCTCCAAGGACTGGTCTCTCCTTACAACATGTCCAATGTATGTTAGACGGAGCCTCAGAACCCTTGCCTCCAAGGAGCAGCCCGGTTTAACCCTTTCCAGGATGAATCTGTTTTCCTCGCAGTCCATGGTACCCTCAATACTCTTCTCCAGCATCACAGCTCAAAGGCATCAATTCTTCTATCCTCCTTAGTCATTGTCCAACTCTCAAATGCAAAACAAGTGATTGCAAAGACTATGGCCTGTATCAGATGCACCTTAGTCTCGAGAGAGACACCATTGCTTTTCAGTACTTTGGAGAGGTCCTTGGGTTGTATTCCTAGTAGTAGAATAGCTGGGTCATGCAGAGTTTCTATGCTTAACTTTCTGAAGAATTGTCAAAATGCCTTCCAGAGTGGTTGCACCATTTTACAATCTCACCAAGAATGTAAGAGGGGGTTCCCACTTCTCCACATCCTCTCCAAAATTTATTGTGGCTGGTAGATTTGAATTATATGTCTATGGGTTGGTAGTACAGCTCTTTACCCTCTAGGTCATCAGTGCTTCCTAAATATATAGTCCTTTGTTAATGTGGAAGACAGCTGGTGAAGACAAACGGGGGTGGGAAGGGATGGTAAGACAATATTCATGGGCATTTGGAAAAGAATTGGTTCCTAAGAGAGATTTTTTTTTTCTTTTTTAGGATGGATCTTGAAGGAATAGGAGACTGTATGGAGAACATGGTTTGTAGCTTTATTGTGGAGTTGTTGTTTTTTTTCTTTGAGGGAGCTCTAGTGGCCATGTGGTAAACCACTACACTTCCAACCCAAAGGCATGCAGTTTGAATCCACCAGCTGTTCTATGGGCAAGATGGACCGTTTCCTCTTGTGCAATTTAATGCCACTGAAAACCCAGTGGAGGGTAAACTATGGGTAAATCCCAACTCAATTACACGTACTTTTCTTTTGTTTTGTTTTGTTTTAGTATGATAGCAGCTAGGTGAATGGCAGCAATACTTTTAGAGTGAAGAACTTAAGAACAGTCCAATGTTTATAGAATCTATAACAAACCTAACAGGAAAAAGTTGGAAGGAAAGGCTAATGTCAGGAGGAGAAATGTCTTATATATTAAATATCACTCACTCATTGCCACTGAATCAAAATCTACTCATAAACTGATCCTCTAATAGATTTTCTATTGCCCAACTTTCTCCTTCAGAGCCCCTAGAGGATTCTAATTATCAGAGAGGTGCTACCTTTGGGTTAGCTGGGCAAATCCTATAGCTGAGGCCATCATACCTTTAATGTGTAGTGACACCTGATTACTTATCATACAATATGCTGCATGCTCTGGATAAACCAATAGAAATGATTCCTCTCTTCTAGATCTTTTCTTAGTCTTGTCAATTGTCATCCCAAATCATGGCACTCCCCCACACACCAGAACAAAGGTTGCCCAGTTCTACCCCATTTCCATGATTGCTTACAGATCAGTTCATTGTGATCTCTAAGATTTTCACTGGATGATTTTCTGATTTAAATTCAGATTTAGATCTTTCTTCCAAGTCTGTCTTGGTCTACAAGAATCACTGAAATATGCACAGAATCACAGTATTACTAAAACCTATACAGACAGGTAATTGATGGTTGTGCATTAGACATGTGAACCTGGGTTTCTCAAATGAAGGTAAAGGTCTACAACGGAACTAGCACCACTGCCCTCAAGGAGTATACAACAGGTCAAAATTAAAAAAAAAAGAGGTCAAAGGGAGCAAGAAAAAAAGTCCTCAGGGTATAAAATGCTTGGCTGCTAAACTAAAAATCAGCAGTTTGAACCAAAGTGGATCATAACAAATTATGAGTTACAAAGAGAAGAATGTGGATCCCAAAATATTTAATCATGCTCATGAGAAACCTATAACTTACCAAGAAATAATTGTTCAAATAGAACAAAGGAATACTGCATGGTTTATAATCTGAAAAAAATGGGCATCACAGTCTTATCTGTTTTCCATACCTCTTCAACCTGTATGCGCGGCGGGGGTGGGGTGGGGGGGGAACCAAACAGGATTGGAGGAAAACTCAACAAACTATATTAAGCACATGATAAGACCTTGTTGCATGCTGAAAGTGAAGAGGACTTGAAGTACTTGCTGCAGAAGTTCAAAGACTATATAGCCTTAACATAGATTAAATCTCAAGAAAACAAAAATCCTCACCAGTGGACCACTATCAACATAATGAGAGATGAAGTAAAGACTGAAAATTCTCAACGTCATTCAACTTACATCCACCATCAAGGTTGTTGTTGTTATTGTTGTTAGGTGCCGCTGAGTCACTTGCGACTCATAGCGACCCTATGCACAACAGCCCTAAACTCTGCTCTGTCCTATGCCAATCGCACCGTCTCTGATACACCCATCCCGATCACCCCAATCAATGAATCAATCTATCTCACAGGGGGCCTTCCCCTTCTGCACTGTCCCTCCACCCTACCAAGCATGATGTCCCTCTCCAAGGACCTGTCCCTCCTTACAACATGTTCAAACTATGTTAGACGGAGCCTTAGAATCCTTGCCTCCAAGGAGCAGGCTGGTTTGACCCTTTCCAGTATGAATCCATTTGTTTTCCTAGCAGTCCATGGTACCCTCAGTACTCTTCTCCAACACCAAAGCTCAAAGGCATAAATTCTCCTTCTATCCTCCTTAGTCACTGTCTAACTCTCTGATGCATAACAAGTGATAGCAAAGACCATGGACTGTAACAGACGCACCTTAGTCTCCAGAGAGACACCACTGCTCTTCAGTACTTTGGAGAGGTCCCTAACAGCAGACATTCCCATCGCAATATGTCTTCTAATTTCCTGGTGCCAAGTGTTGACTGTGGATCCAAGCAAAATGAAGCTGTGAACAATCTCAATCGCTTCACCATCCATCTTGATGTTGCCTATTGGCCCAGTGGTGAGAATCTTTGTCTTCTTGACATTGGGCCTCAATCCATATTGGAGGCTGCAGTCCTTGACCCTCTGCAGCAAGTGCTTCAGGTCCTCCTCAGTTTCAGCAAACAGGGTTTTGTCATCTGTGTAACCCAGACTGTTGATAGATCTTCCACCAATCCTGACGCTACACTTCTCCTCACAGAGCCCAGCCTCTCAGATAATCTGTTCTGTATACAGGTTGGAAAGGTATGGAGACAGGACACATCCCTGGCGTACGCCCTTCCCAATTTTGAACCATGCAGTGTTTCCTTGCTCTGTTCTAACGACTGCCTCTTGGTCCAAGTATAGGTTTCTCATTAGCATGATCAAATGTTCTGGTATTCCCATTCTTTTCAGAGTCAGCCACAGTTTGTTATGATACACACAGTCAAATGCCTTTGCAGAGTCAATGAAACACAGATATACATTCCTCTGGTATTCCCTGCTTTCAGGGATCCATCTACCATTAGCTACAATATCCCTAGTACCACGACCCCTTCTAAACCCAGCCTGGACTTCTGGCAGTTCTCTGCTGATGTGTTGTTCCAATAGTTTTTGGATAATCTTCAGTAGAATCTTGCTTGCATGTGAAATTAATGATATTGTTCTATAGTTTCCACCCTTCTTTGGGATAGGAACTAATATAGATCTCTTCCAGTCAGTTGACCAGGTGGTTGTTCTC